TTATATCAGATGGAGATCCCCGGTTTACCGGACATTTTTGGGAATGTTTGAACGAGTCCATGGGGACGAAGTTGAAGTTTAGCTCCGCCTATCATCCACAGACCGACGGCCAGTCGGAACGAACCATCCAGACGCTTGAGGACATGCTCCGAGCTTCTGTCCTAGAGCATGGTGGTTCGTGGGAGCAGTTGATACCCACTGTGGAGTTTGCCTATAACAACAGTTACCACTCGTCGATCAAGATGGCGCCGTTCGAAGCTTTATACGGTCGCAAGTGCCGCTCACCCCTTTATTGGGATGAGGTTGGCGAGAAGCAGGTTCTCGGTCCCAAGTTGATCGAGGACACAGTGCAGAAGGTCGCCTAGATTCGAAAGAGATTGAGAGAGGCTCAGAGCCGTCAGAAGGCCTACGCTAACAAGCTAGAAGGGAGCTTGAGTTCGAGCAGGGAGATAAAGTGTTCCTGAAGGTCACGCCGATGAAGGGCGTTGTCCGTTTCGGGAAGAGGGGGAAGCTGCAACCCCGATTCATAGGGCCCTTTGAGATTCTCGAACGAGTTGGTGTCACCGCCTATCGTCTGGCATTACCCCCAGAGCTCTCGGGTGTACACAACGTCTTCCATGTGTCGATGTTGAGGAAGTACGTGTATGACCCGAGCCACGTAGTGAACTTTGACGGGCTAGAGGTCGGGCAGAACCTGACGTATGATGAGCGGCCGATAGCAGTTCTGGATCGAAAGGTCCGTCGGCTGAGAAACAGAGATATAGAGCTCGTCAAAGTTTGCTGGAGTCGCCACGACGAGTCAGAAGCCACTTGGGAGAGAGAGGCCGAGATCAGAGCTCGTTATCCAGATTTCGAGTTTTGAGATTTTCAGATGTATATATATATGTACTTTTTATTTTTATGTTTTAATCTAGTTCTGTAGTAGGAGTTCTGGCCTAACACCTTAGTTTTGTATTTCCGAGGACGGAAATATTTTAAGGAGGATAGGTTGTAACGCCCCAAAACAGTAATAATATTCAGAACGGTTTCACTGCTCGACTATAAGTGAAATCCGTAAGTTTCAGAAATTTTCGAGTTATATTATTTATGCTAAATGCTCAAACATGATAAATTATTCTTTGAATAATTCTATATCAAGTCTAAGTTAAGATTAATCCATTAATTTGGGTTGATAAATAATAGCATGTCAATTCGAGAGTTTATCGACTCCGAACCCTAGTTGGGTTCCGAGTTGATTTCCGGGTAAATTCCGAGCATGGCCAAGTATTGGTATTTTTATACTTAGAATATTTTTCTAAGTGTATAAAAATATCAAAGTATAAGTCTTGATCTTTTATATCGAGCCCTAGTCGAGTCTCGTGCCCGAGACCCGAGCCGCGCCTTAGTCGCGCCATGCACGCCCAAACCGAGCCCAAGGGCATGTCCCCATGCCTTAACATCACTTTGCAAATCTTTTCTAAGTGTTGGGATACCAAGAGAAGTCCTTAGGTTGGGTCCAAGGTCCCCACACTCGCGCAGCCCATCTTGCCAGAGCAGCCCAGCATGTCCCCGCGCCAGCCCGTGACCGCGCAGCCCAGGCCGCGCCCTCGCGCCAGCCCGCGCCCAGGCCCAGTGCCGCGCCCAGCAGCCCAGCGGCAGGAATGGCAGGTCCACTTCTAAGGCCCAAAACCATTATTTTCGGCCCACTTTGCTCAGGGCCCAACTCATACGTGTATTAGGCACTTAATAAGGGTCTAAATGAGCTTAATTGGCCCTAAGCATTGTTAAGGAAAGTCAACTAGAGTTTAGCATGAAGTGAAGCATGTGCACAACATTGTTTATTCAAGAAATTTTGTCCTTGTCCCCCACTTTTGTACCAAGGCTGACCAGATCACTTAAATAAACGTTTGAGCTCTGTAAAACCACCAGGAATCTCCACCCAAACCGTGATTTAAGTCAGCCATTGTTCCCCATGACTAGCCTCTACTCATGTGCATGAAAAGAGAAAGATTCCCAACCATTTTGGTCCCCTTTGACCTCACATAGCAAGTTCCGCCCCATATCCTATATAAACCTCTTCTATAAGATGCAAGGAAGTTCTTAGACCCCCAATACCTCGAGCAAATACTTAGGGAAAAATCAGAAAAGTGAGAAGAACCCAGCTGGTGCCTACCTCGCGCGCGCAGCCCCGGGGAAGAAGGAGGACCGCACCTCAGCCTTTTCCAAGCACATTCCCTCGAGGCTTAGCACCATATAAGTGTACCTTATATTTTTCTAAGTCTCTTGGAGGTGTTTGGCACGAGCAAATCACAACCTAAGTCCAAGCCAACCCCTAAAGCCGTGCATAACCACATTTCGAGCCCTAGTTCATTATCTCCATTTCTAACCGAGGTAAGCTCGGGATTTTTATGTTCATTAATTATTTTATGATATTTTAAGATTTTTCATGAAGAGAAACCGAGCCATGCATGTCATTATATATGATTTACGAATTTTTGAATTAAATGGCCTTAAAAATAAAATTTTAGTTGCATGCATGCCAAAGTCGAAAATGTTGGTTAAATCACCCTTAAATATCATACCATTGATGCTGTAAAAATTTGAGAATAAATGGAGTTCATTGCCTTGGTCAATTCATTCATGAAAATACGCTATTTTGGCCACCCGAGGCCCATCCTCATGCATGCATGGTATGACCCAAGTGTTAGCCATTATAGTCATCATTTGTGATGTATATCATTCGGCCCTGAGTAGTTTTGTAAGTTATGAATGTTGGTTCGGAGGCCAAGTTGCTCGTACGTGCCATTTAGGCCCTCCCGAGTATCATGCATGTGGACCCGGGGTCCACTAGTGTTTTATGTGATATTTATGCTTATTTTACCATATCATGATGTTTGGAGTTGCATGTCACCGGAAATGTTGCCGGAGGTCCGGCAAGGGCCGGCCTTGGTCACTGCCCGCGCACATAGCGCGCCAGTGCCCGGCCCAGTGCCAGTCCGTGCCCGCGCCAGCGTGCGCGAGGCACCAGTGTCCGCGACAGCGCGCCCGCAGTGCCTGTCCGCGTCGTACCCGGGGTCGTGGCGCCCGTCGCGCCCAAGCAACCCCGACAGCGCCTGGCCGCGCTGTCCCAGCCTCAGTGCACGCATGGCCTCGCGTGTCATGCGTAGCCGACCTCGGGTCGTGCCAGTGCCACGCCCGAGCACGCAGTTGGCCCGGGATGTGCCCAGCAGCACACCCGCGTGCCCAGGGACGCCCGGCAGCGTCCGTGCCAAGCCCAGCGCACGAGGTCTCGTGCCAGAGCCTCGTGCCAGGTCCAGGGCTGATCCAAGCCGGGTCAGCTGAGCCAGTCGGTCTCGGTGCATGTCCCAGCAGCATGCCCGAGTGCCCAGTGTCCTCGGGACGGCCCGGCAGCGCCCTAGGGGCCTCTGTCCGCGCCTTCCCCGTGCCAGCCGCGTCTGGCCAGTGCCTGTCCGTGCCCAGCCGCACGACAGCGCCTCAGTCGAGCCTCGGCCGTGCCCAGCACGCACCCGAGGGGCACCAGTCGTGCCCGGGCCGTGCCAGCAGCCCCTGGCCGTGCCCACCAGCGCCAGTCCGCGCCAAGACATGTCCAGCGGCCCCAGGGACCGAGCCCGGTCGCACCAGCCGTGCCCAGCGCCGTGCCCGGGCACCAGCTGGCCCGGCACGGGACCGAGCCCGGTCTAGCCGAACCCAGCCCGACCGCCCGGCCCAGTCGAGCCGGCGGTCCGGCCAGCCAGCGAACCGGCCGGTTCGACCGGCGGTTCGAGTCAGTTTTTACTCGTGATTTCTGATCCGAGTCCAGTTCCGGAAATTTCAGTATTTTTCCGAGCCAGTCCAGTCCAGTTTAATCGCGTAGATAAGTCCGAGCATTTTAGCATATAATTAAATATTCTGAGCATTATACTTAGCATTATTTTGCTTAAATATTTATGTAGCCTAAGGAGAGTCGAGCCTCCGACCGCTACTCCAGCTTCCGCACTTGCATACCAGATTTCAAGTTTTTCAGGTGGGGGTCATGTACTGGATGTCACATCATAGATAATATCTGTACCATGGCAGAGGTATGTTTGAGACAGTTTAGTTCCGGGTTGGGTGGCCGAGGCCTTTATACCCACCTGATGACCGTTGGGAGGGGCGAGGCCCTTTCTACCCCATCGGCGTGTGCACACGAGCGGCTAAGGCCGAGGGTCTTTTGACCACAGATCAGAACAGACATCAGAGATCAGTTTACAGTTTCAGCTCTTATATATTTATGTTTCATGATACGTTATTATAGATGATGTTTTGTTCAGTACTGGTCTTTGCGGAGCATAGTGGTTTGCTCACGCGCCCATTATGTTTTTCAGGAGGCGGAGTCGATCGTGCCGGATGAGCACAGATGTGGCGCAGCGTGGTCATGAGAGTCGGACATATTTTACCAGCATTTTTATGTCCTAGATTTATGATCATGTGTATTTTATTCAGTTTATGTACGCATGTTATGTATTCGTATTTCGGATACTTCCGCCAGCGAGTTTTCTAGACAGTGCGAGACAGTTCAGACTACGCATGTATAATTCCATAATCCGCGAGCGGACAGTTTGGTTGCATGTTTTTATTATGTCTGCGGGCAAGCCCGAGTTCAGTTTAAGTTTTTATCTGCCACATCCCGCAATAAGTCAGAATTTTCGAAAACCCAGCTCGCACATTCTTTCGAAAATTAAAAATAAAAATTTTACTCTGATTTTTCAAAGCTAGTAGTGAGGCGGGGTGTGACACGTGGATGAGCGGCGGAGAGCAGTCCACCGGCTAGTCGGAATGGACGCTGAGAGGGGACAATTCGCCGACGCCGAAGTTAGGGTTACGGGATGAGAAAAGGGATTTTTTACGGGAGAGAGAAAAGAGCCCAGGCGAGAAAAAGGATTTTGTATAATATCATTTGTGTTTGAAGCTTATTCAAAAATTAAGTTTTTTTTTTCCCCGAAACAATAACAATATATTGACGAAACACAGCAATACAAAGTTCAGTACAATGGAAACCTAACTGGAAAACGCTCTTTTAGCTAATAAAAGCTAAAGAATGTAAGCCATAAACAATTGGCCCAAAAGAAGAAGAATTAAGTTAAGCTAGATAAATACAATTCAAAAGAACAAAACTTAACTACAACTTCTTCAGACCTAGCACTACTTAAACAAAACAAATTGTACAAGAATACGAAACGCCACTGGAGAAAAAACTCCCTAACCATTCACCCTCTTACAAAACACCCCCTAACAACTACAAAGAAACAAATAAAACACCTTCAAACTATACCCACTCCTGAACAACATTATGCACCATAATAACCTCATCGTTCCACACTTTCTCAAAGTTCCACACGTCCAGAGTTCTCGACAACCACCATAAGATGTAAACCATTAATATGGTCTCTTGTTATAAAACACATATTTCTTTTCGGTTAAAATAAAGAACCACCAATCAATAAAGTTCCCACACTCTAGACCAGCTAAATACAAAGAAACATATGCTAACTTCCAAACTCTAATAGTTGTAGCACTAAACAAAAATACCTGTTCTAATGTTTCGTAAACCTCACCACACATAGAGTACCTTGCATCTTCAAAAATTCTCTTCTTTTGTAAATTAACAGTCGACGAAATCACATTGTTTACACACATCCATATAAAGTGCTTTAAGTTGTTCTTGATTTGATGCCTCATATATTTCTGTTTGCTGCTACTGTTAGCTGGTTGAAAGGACAGATTTATGTAATAACAAATAATGACTTTTTGGACAGACTTAACACTGAACTTACCATTGTTTTCCAAATGCCAGAATAGTTGATCCTCTGATTGGCAGTGATCAAGAGGGATTCTGATTATGGCTTCAGCATCAATTGGCAAAAAATTTCTGAAAATGAGGTCTTTGTTTCATCTTCTGCCACTTCTTTCAGTGAGTCGATTCACCCATACTAGACTTGGATCCCTGCAAATATAACCTATAAGTTTAATCTAAGGATTATAAAGGATCCAGAAGTTCCTCTCATTTTAGCAGTCATGCCATTCCCTATTTTAACCCTTAAACTAAGCATCAAGAAATTATAAACTTTCACTCAACTCCAAACCAAAGATTGGTTCCCTGTAGAATTTTCCAAAAATCTTCCACACCATACTTTGCTCTCTGAAGTATGCTCATCAAAGTGTTTGGTTCTGCAACTATTCTCCACAATATTTCGACCAATAAATCATCATTAGCGACCAACAGATTATTGAAACCCATCCCTCTGCAATCTTTAGGAACTGTAAGATTATCCCATTTAAACTAGTGAATTTTACTTCCTTCAAACATGTTATCACCCCACCAAAAGTTTACAATAAGAGTATTAATAAAAGAACAAAAAATCTTTAGGAGTCTGAAGCATGACATAACAAAAGTTGGCAGGGCATTTCCAATTGATTTATGTTGGGATATATAAGGATCATCGTTAATGTACAAGTTACAAATTAAACTTAAAAAATACCTATGCGTAGCGGATCTATAGGTAAAAGTAGAAGACTCACGATTCATTATTTTAAAGAATCAAAGACTCTGTAGATTTCCTTTGGAGGAGATCGCCTGATCAAAAAGTTCGTTGGGCAGCTGGATGGGCCTTCTAGGTTAGAATGGGCCATGTGCGTGCGGGAGACGTGATCGGATCACCAGAAGCTGATCGGGGTTGGTGTCGGGTCGAGTTGGATGCACGCGAGATTGTCGCGGGCTGCACGGCATCGTAGGGCTGCAGCGAGTCGTCTCCGGGCACGAAGAGTTTGCGGGTCGCGTCGGGTCTCGTCGTTGGGGGCTGGTGCTGAGATCACGCGTGCGTCATGGCTGTGCGCGTGATTTGTCGGACGTTTGTTGGTCGCGATCAGGTCACGTGGGGAGTCGTCGGGGATGTCGCGCAATAGTGCTCGGTGTCTCACGGTGGTGATCAAGAGGCCGACGATGGTCGAGTGCTCGAGATTTATCAATGTTATGCAAATGATGGAGGTTGGTAAGCAAGGGTATCCATTCACATTAGGGATTAATAGAGAGAGTGAAGGCTTAATAGAGGAGAAACTTGACAGGTTTTTCCTATCCCTGGATCTGGCAAACCTGTTCCCCTCTGCCAAAAGCTTCAAATATTTTTAGGAGTTCTTCAGACCACAATCTCATCCTTTTGAACTGTTTGTCGAATGTTATTAAAACAAAGAAAAGATTTTATTTTGATAAAAGGTGGATTGAGAAGGGTGGTGTTGAAGAGGTAGTTACTAAGGCTTAGAGCATAAATCATCATGAAACCCCTATGTTTTGCTTGAAATCTAAAACAGTAGCACAAGAGTTGAGCTAATGAAGTGGAGCAGCTCCTTCAAAACTGAAAATGAATTGAAAATTGAGACTCTAAATAGACAACCTATAGCTCTGAGGGAAGAAAGTGGCCTAAGGGATTGGAACTAGTGGGATCTTCTCATAAAGGATTTGAATGAAGCTTACAGTTTTTAAGAAAAGTTTTGGGAACAGAAATCCAGGGTCAATTGGCTGAAGTTTTGAGATAAAAATAACAGATTATTTCATGCTCAAACTTCTTTGAGAAGAAAACAGATCAAAATCTCTAAGTTAATCAGGGATAACCAGTATGTTTGTGAGTCTCATGATGCCATCTCACACTGTATTGAAGACTTCTTCAATAATCTCTTCACAACTGAAGGATTCACTTATGAGGGCAATCTGCTGCAAAGATTGAAGAAAGTTATCTCTAAGTAGACGAACTCTGGTTTGGTGGCTAAAGTGGGTTTGGAAGAAATCAAAGAAGCACTCTTTAGTATCAACCCTCATAAGTCTCCTGGACCTGATGGTATTAGTTGTATCTTTTTCCATTTCTTGTGGTCTCTGATTCAACTTGATCTTTGTAAAGTTGTCCTTAGTTTTTTTTTAATCTTGTAGAATTCTGAAATGTTGGAACCACTTAATAATCTTAATCTTTAATTGTTCAAATCCTGTCCATGTGGCTAACTTTAGACCTATAAGTCTGTGCAATGTGGCCTATAAATTTATATCTAAAATCCTTGCTAATAGAATTAAGCATTGTATGCCTGTGTGTATCAGCCCTAACCAATCTGCTTTTGTTGCAAATAGGCAAATCCTAGATAATGTGGTCATGGATCATGAGATAATTCACTTTCTGAAAAACCATAGAGTAGATAAGCTCTGTTATATGGCCTTTAAGCTTGACATGATTAAGACATTTGACGGGGTTGAATGGGAAGGTGTGAGATTGGTCTTGCTTAACTGGGGTTTTAATTCTACCCTTGTGAAGTGGATTATGCGCTGATCTCTTCTTCATCCTCTTATTTCAATGTTAATGGTGATGTGTGTGGTTATGTTACTCACTTTTGCTTTGCTGATGACACCCTTTTACTAGCTAAAGGTGATTTGAACCAAGCCTCTACCATTCTGAAAATTCTGAACACATACCAAAAACTCTCTGGCCAGAAAGTCAATCTGAATAAGTCTTCAGTTTTCTTTAGTAAAACCACTTCTTTGAACACCCAAATTGGTATCTGCAACATTCTGTTGGGCTTAACCTCAGTGACTTCCTCAAATTATCTAAACTTACCCTTAGGTATAGAAAAGTCAAAAAATGCCACCTTTGCCTTTGTTGAGGAGGCTGTAAAAAAAGAATTGGAAACTGGCATTGCAAATCTCTCTCTTTTGTAGGTAAAGAAATTCTTATCAAGGCAGTTCTGGGGGCTCTATCCACTTATGCATTCTCCTGCTTCCTGTTACCAAAGTCAATTATATCCAAAATCTCAGGCTCTATCTCTGACTTTTGGTGGCACAATAAGAAAGGTGACTCTAAAAGCATCCATTGGGAATCCTGGGATCAAATAACTTTGCCAAAGGAAAGAGGGGGATTAGACTTCAATGACCTCCATCTTTTTAACAAGGCTTTAATTTGCAAGCAGCTCTGGAGGATAATTTAAAACCCTAACTTACTGGTAAGGGTTCTGAAAGGGCTTTATTTTCACAAGGCTAGTTTCATTACTGCCAAGCCTAAATCTAACTGCTCATGGCTATGGAGTAATTGGATGAAAGTTAGGGATGCAATTCATTGTGGGCTGAGGTTTGAAATATTTGATGGCAAATCAACAACAATATGGGATCACCCTTGGGTACCAAATCTCACAGGTTTTAAATTCTCTGGTAACGATTCTCTCAGTTAAGATATGTGTTGGGTTAAGGATCTCATGGATTGTTCTGGTAGAAGATGCAATAAGCAGTTCATTGAGGAGAATTTTCAGGAGTAGGAAGCTAAAGCTATACTGAGTATATTTGGTTTAGATCCTACAAAATTTGACAGCTTAAGATGGGAATGGAATAAGAATGGGAAATTTTCTACGGCCCGAACTTATGCCATGCTTGTGGATCAGAAATGGAGGCTGATGGATCTTGCAGAACCAAGTTCCAACCATTTGGAAATAAAGGCGGCAAGTTAAAATACTTTTTGTGGAAAAGCTTCAATAACATCTTACCTGTCATGCGCAATCTCTCTGTAAGAAGACTCGGTGGACACAATTTGTAAGCTCTGTCACCTTTTTTCTCAACTGCAGCAGAGAGAAACTTTATCCCGTATCCTAGGAAGGCCTATATGATTTAGGCCTATATGATTTCTCTGGTTCCTTTAAGTCTTGGTGGATGCATCTCTATTCCATCACACATAACCCTGTTTCAGAAGCCAGACTGCAGTTATCCACCTATATTTTTCAGTGGATTTGGAAGACCCGCAATCTGTGGGTCTTTCAAAATGTTCTAAGGCCACCAGCAGCAATTATGGACATAGATTGCAAGGAGTGGAAGAAATTTGTTAGTGTGGGTTCTTAGTAGTTGGTCGTTTTCATCCAGCACTGTTGAGATTTCTTTACTGTTTCTTGTTCTACGATTTTGTTAACAGACTAGGTCTCGTTGGGTGCAGTGGTCTGTTGTTCTCTTTTTATTTTGGGTTTAGAGTTTGAAACTTATCCCAGAACTCAGATCCTTGTCTCTACCGGGTAAAGAACCAAACCTCTTTTGTTATTTGGGAATTGTTTCTTCCTCAACTGTAATTTATTGTGTTAGTTGATCCTCGAACGTTGTATTTTTCTTGAGAAATTTATCCCGTCGTTTTAAAAAAAATAAAAACAATCTAGAGAGAAAAATCTCACAAAGGAGAACTATATAGTTTTGGATGCTTTCATTCACTTCNACAAAAGTGCCAAAAAAACCAGCCACAAGCTGAAGATACATAGCTAATAACTGAAACACTGGGAGGACAGATTCGAAGATCGCCTAAGCCTATGCTAGAACACATAAACTCACAACACTAGAAAACCCAACACAACACAACAAAACTACATAGCTCCCAAAAGGAGAATCAACGATCCCAACAGGGTCATGACCGCTCTCGCTCAGGCAAAAATAGAAATGGCCCAAACCAAAAACACAAACCTAACAAACAAATAAACAAGGGTAAACAAACACAACAAATAAAAAACAACACAAGAACCTCTATAACTACCCTTCCCCAGCAAATCTATCGAACGACGCTCAAGGAGAGATCCACAGCCTGAGAAACCATTCCTAAAAATGCCGAAAACCACCTAGCTGAAACGGAGACCCAAGCCCCGAACTCAACCTGGGAGCAAACCCGCCCCTTCGCCAAAGGCCAAGAAACTCAGATCTTCCCCACAACACTAATGCCCCGAACTGACTAACACCACTATCCAAAACGGCAGCACCGACCTCCCCCGGACCAACCTCCAAACCAAGGAAATCGACAGAGCAAAGACTTGAAAGGATACCTGAAATCGGCAAAGCCGTCGCAGACTCCCTTCACAGACGTCCGTCATCTTCCCCGTTTGCAACGGCTAGGAGAGGCGCAAATTGGACCAAGGGCGTGCAGCTGGGGGGACCGACCACCAGCTAAGAGTCCGACAACCCACTGAAGAAGGCGACCAAATCAGCAGAGGAAGGGAGATTCGGCGAGGGTTTGATTTGGGCGATCTTTTAGAGAGAGAGGAAGAGATATTAGTGTCGACTGCTTGATCGTTTTGATAGTTCATATTGTAATGTTCCACATAGTCAATGTAGATGCTATTGGTTCGTCTGAAACACCTTCCAGCAATTATATTATGAGAGACCGCCAAAGTCCATCATATGTTCCACAACATTCTTCCCAAGGAAATATTCATCTTCAATCCTAAAGCGACAATCCAAGTTCGCAATCT